GAGAAAAATGGGTGGGTATGGATTGGGAATCCAAGTGATGTTCATGAACTAATCTGGATTTGTTGAGTGTGACAATGGCCTGGTTGTAATATCTTTTAAAAAGTCCCTGCAGATATTCATGCTGAAGAGTTTAGGGAGTGAAGTAGGTCTAAGGTGAAGGTGAACTGGAGGTGATGGGCCATAACTGGCTCTTCTGAAACTATGGGGCCCACGGACGCCTGGTGCTGTCCTCCACACCTTAGCACAATGTCTGAGAGTGCCATGACAGGAAGTCAGGGGTCAAACTTCCCTCATCTACTCTGCACCGAACAGTTCCAGGTTGCGACCCTCTGTGAATTCTCCTGGGCACCTTTTCCACAAGGACCTGTGAGGTACAGGTGTGGGTGACGCTGGTGGTGGGGACACTCCCTGAGACAGTGCTCACGGTGGCACTCCTCACCCGTCTCAATCAGAATTCACTTCTCTTGCTTTCCTCCTTTCAGGTGCCTCATTTTCATCACTGGCCATGGCCTTTCCCAGGTGCGTTGGCCCAAATGATGGAGTCTCTCAGCCTTGAATTCGGGGCTTGTCTGGTCTTTATCCGTCACCTCTACAGAGGCCAGAGAACCATCAGTGCCTGGTCCACAGAACTCTGGTCTCGGCTCCCCATGTTCGCCCAGTGCTGGGCCTCATGTTCAGGCACAGAATTGCCACAGACACAGTCTCAGCCCGAGGAGAGAGACGTTTCCTTTCCAGATGTCTCCAGAGGTCACGGAGCGGGTGGGAGCTGAGCCAGCTGGGCTGTGAGCCGCCTTCCTCATCACCTGGGGGGGTTGCTGCTCTGCCCTCCCCCCTCCCTGCTGGGCTGCGCCTGCCTCCACCTTCCCCAGGACGCCCCGTGTTTGTGCCTGAGGAATTGTTAGTGCTGAGGCTGGACCTGGCCTCCACTGGATGGGCACTCGACAGGGCTTCGATGCCCGGCTGGCCGCCCTCCAGACTCGGGGAATCCTCACACCCAGCCACCCATCTGCATGGCCTCAGTGTCCGTGGGCACGTGATCCAGGTGGCCTTTCCTCAGCCTTGTTGGGATTCCCAAGGTCAGTGGGGCTCACTGACCTTGGGAATCAATCCTCTGGTTTCCCTGAGAGAACTGAGGGCATCTCTCAGCTTACTCAGTTTTTCTGTGGGAACCCGTAACACAGAGACAGGCAGGTTGATAAGATGCTGAAATGTCAAACAGTTCCCAGCCGCTGGGTACAAACAGGGAGGATGACGTCACCACGGGAAGGAGACTGTGCTGAGACGGGCACTGACCTGGGGGCTGGTTTTAGACACACCAGGGCTGCTCCAGGACCTGGGCTCCCACCCATTGCCTCATGGCTGTGTGTGGTTATTTTGTTCCCTGAAATAACTGCTCTTTTCGTCTCCCTGAAGCAGCAGCATCAGACTCTCCTGCACTTGACTTTGATTGTCACATCACGTCTGCCCTAAGCTGCTCACCTGTGGCTCCCGCTCCTTGGGAAACCCATTGGCTGGGGGGAGAGGGGGGTCAGCGTCTGTTCACCAGGCCGGAGAGGTCTTTGTTACCTGCAGCGTCTCTGCCACCCCATGCACCAGGTCCCATGAAGGGCAGGAGCACCCCGCAGCAACAGGCACCAGCAGCCCCCTCCGGGGCAGAGCACGGGACATGGGGGTTTGTCTTAATCCCTGCTTTCAGGACGTTCACTTTTGGATCTTTGAAATCCAGGCGCGCTCCCAGGCATTCAGATCCTCAGCCAGCTTGATGTGAAGCAGGAGACCGCCACACCACTTCCGCCCACCTCTGAGGGCCTAGGACACCAGGTTCTTGGCCAGAGGTTCTTTGGGGACTCGTTGATTGTGTGACTGCAGGGAGCAAAGCTTCATGGGGGCAAGCACCCGACTCCCTGGGTCTGGGGCTCGGTGTCGAGGTCAGAGCACACTCTCCGGCCACCCTCCACACGGGGGCCTTTCTTGCCCCTGTCATCTGCTCAGAGGGGATCCCAGCTCTGTGTGTGACGGTTGCTCTTCTTATCTTGGGCTTTTCTCTTTCTGACTTTGAGATATATATATAAAACAGCATCGCACCCTTTCACCCTGGTGAAGCCAGTCTCTGACAAATGTCTCCTGTGTCAATATTTTAGTTTTTTTTTCCATTTTGGGACACACCCAACGATGAATAGGAGTTACTCCTGGCTCTGCACTCAGGAATTACTCCTGGAGGTGCTCAGGGGACCATACGGGATGCTGGGAATCGAACCTGGGTTGGCTGCATGCAAGGCAAATGCTCTCCCCACTGTGCTATTGCTGCAACCCCCAAGTGTTTGAAATCACTGGAGATGGAATTCTGAGACATGGTCTCATGGTATCAAAGTGTCATGCCTGGTCCTAGACCACTTCCTGTTGGGGCAAGCCCGCCACCCCCTGCTGAGCATCAGGTCATTCACGAGCTCACCTGGTGCTGCCCAGGGCTCCTGAGATCAAGACAGAACTCTCCTGGCCCACTGCCCCCCCACCCCGCCCCTCTCCGGCAGGTGACACTACTTTCTTCCTCTCTTCCCTCGTTGTCCCTGACCATGCACACTTCCTGTCCAAGCCCTGCATGGCTACTGCAGTGTCCCCTCCCTGTTGTGGCCAGTGCAGCTTGCTCATGTCTGTCCTCACACATCCTGGCTGAGCTACTACATTTGCCCAATCTCTGGACCAACGGGGGCTGCTTCACTGGACTCCGAAGGCAGGAAAGTGGCTATGCAGAGGCCACGGAGTCATGCAGTGCTCTGACAGGGGGAGGCTCTCGGACGCTGCAAACAGGAGAGGCTGGCTGGGAAGGATGTGGCCCACAGCAGAGGGGGAACACCTGTCGCGGGGGCAGCTGGGGAGCTGCAGAGTAACAGGCTCATTCCCAGCAGGCACCATCCTGCACGATTGCCACCTTGGGTAAGCCACGCTCTGTCCCTCAGCCGTGGCCGGCAGTAACAGTGACAGCGTCTCTCAGACTAGAGTGTGACCAGGCCTGGAGGGCGCCTTTTATTGGCGTGTCCTGCCTGCCCAGCCACCAGCTCCGGTCCAGACAGCGCTGGGCTGCGCTGTGGGCATGGCCCTGTGAGTGGACACCTGGACCCTCCTCGGGGAAAGGGGCAAGGAGGTCACACGAGCCCAGGGAGACACACTCAAGACAGGGCCCCGGGGACTCTAGGGGCCCTGTCACTACAAAGACTCTCACAGGGCATCTAGACCCGTGGCTCCAGACACCCTAGGAAAGGGAGTTCCTGCTGGGTCTCTATCCCACCAGGGACGGAATGGGGATGCTCCTTCCCCACCTCTGCTGAGGATGTATGAACAGTGACAGGGGGACAGTGAGCTGAACTTCTGGACACACTTTCCAGAACAATCCTGTGAAAGTATGAGTCATCATTCCACTGGCAGGAAGCGTGAAGTCACTCTAGTTCGCATATACTCAGTCTGGGGACCCAAATGTCACTGTGGCCCTTTCTCACCCTGATCCTCCTCTGAGGGCCGAGATTTCTGGGTCTGTTTCATCTGCCTCAGCCAACCAGGATGAGCCTCGGCGAGTCGGGCCCCACCTCAGTGACGCCCCTCTCTGACCTCACACCTACCTTCCTCCTCCTGGAGTTCTGCAGCAAGCGAACAAAGTCACAGAGGCACTCGGTAGTGAAGCACCAACACACAAGAGAGGATGTTTCCTCTGTGTGGGAAAGTGTCACGCTGTCGCAGGGGAAGTTCTGAGCCTACCTGCTGCAACCTCGATTCTCCTCAAACAGCGCCCACCAATTACAGTCCCTCAGGCTCCCGCAGAAGCAATTTCATTCTGTGCTATTTTTATTATTTTTATTCTGTGCTATTTAATAATTGCTATTGCAGAAGCAATAGCACAGTGGGTAGGGCGTTTGCTTTGCACATGGCCGACCCGGTTCGATTCCTCCATCCTACTCAGAGAGCCCGGCAAGCTACCGAGAGTATCCCGCCCACACGACAGAGCCTGGCAAGCTCCCCGTGATGTATTGGATATGCCAAACACAGTAACAACAGTCTCACAATGGAGACGTTACTGGTGCCCGCACGAGCAACTCGATGAACAACAGGAGGACAGTGCTACAGCACTACAGATGGGGGCGGGAGTGGAGCACGAGCACACCTGCTACCACACACCAGTCACCAAGAGGTGACCTTCACTGGGAGGTCACGGATGGACAACCAGCAGAACTCCAGGGTCTGGACCCCACCAAGGAGCCTCGCATGAGTACTTGACTATACCACAGCGAGACCCCAAGCCCATAAGCAGCGGTTGGTCCTGGAGGGGAGCAGGCATCGCTCTCCTCCTTCCTGGCCCTGAGGATTTCCCTCACAGAGCAGCTGTTCCCCAGGAAGAGCCCCAGGCCCCGCAGCCTGTGGAAGCTGGGTGACAGGCTCAACTGTCACCAGAGCCTCCAAGAGAAGGAGCTCTGGCCCCAGTGGGGGCTTTGGGTGGTCATTGATCTCATTAGCAACATGGACTCCTGGCCCCTGCACTGAGATTGGCAGTGCCAGACCCCGGGGCCAGCCTATGTAAGAGAGGACAGGTGGGAAGAGAGAACCTGAGAACCTGGGGGGGTCTGAGCTCAGGTCCTGGGGGGGGGTTAACTGAGATCCTGGGGGGGTCTGAGTTCAGGTTCTGGAGGGGGCTAACTGAGGCACTGGGGCGGGAGTCTGAGCTCAGGTCCTGGAGGGGGTGAGCTGAGGTCCTGTGGAGTCTAAGCTGAGGTCCTGGGGGTCTGAGATGAGGTCCTGGGGTTTGGGCTCCAATCCCAGGCCCAGTGAGATGCCATGGGAACCCACGCCTGTAGGGATGACCCTCGGGAGTGTTTCCCCTTCCGCTCTCGTCCATGCTTGCAGTCAGGGCTGCAAGCAAAGGCCTGAGCATGGCCATAGGGCTGGGCCACCCCAGTCACCACCCTTGACACAGCAGGGTTGCCCACCCCCACACGCTCTCCCCATGTGCTTACTGTGATCCAGGGGTGTCGGAGAGCCTCCTGGACAGTGAGACGCTTCCTGCAATGAGGACCAGAGAGCAGTGTTGGGACACGCAAGGGACCGTGATGGCACACGTGGGGGCAGTGACAGGGCACATGGGGAAAGTGATGGTACGCATGGGGGCAGTGACGGGGCACGTGGGGACAGTGTTGGGACAAGTGGGGGCAGTGAGGAGCACATGCAGATATCTGTCATGCTTCAGCTGCCGTCTCTAGGGTGACATCAGGTGTGAACCTGCATTCCTGTGCTCTGGACAGGGTCCGACACCCCCTGCCAGGGGTTCCCAGCAATCCCTGCAGACCTCTCACTTGGATGCCTCTGTTGGGGGGTTCCCCTTCTCCCCTGCGTCCTGAAGGGGTGGACTGGCACATGTCCTTACCTCCCAGGTCCTGTCCTCTCTGAGTTCACCCCCCAGACTCTCATCTGAACTTGTGTGTCAAGACCCAATTTCAGGGGGCTGGAACGATAGCACAGCAGGTAGGGCGTTTTGCCTTGCATGTGGCCAATCTGGGTTCGATTCCCAGCATCCCATATGGTCCCCTGAGCACCACCAGGGGTAATTCCTGAGTGCAGAGCCAGGAGTAACCCCTGTGCACTGCCAGGTGTGACCCAAAAAAAACAACAAAGACCCAATTTCAGGTGTCTTCGGGACTGCACAAGATAATAAACCTTAGAGAAAGACAGCGTGCCCTCTCTCTCACACTCTCTCTCTTTCACACACACACAGACACACACATGCACACACTGACTCACACATATACACACAGACTCACACATTCACATACACATGCACTACATTCACACACGCGCTCACAAACACTCTCACATACACTCACACACACGCACTCACACAGATTCATACACACACTCTCTCACACACACATACATACACACTCATGTGCACATGCACACACACACACGCACATTTGCCTTTTTCACAGCAAAGGCAGGCCTTGTGCAAACAAGGAAGGCTGGGTCTCTTTCTCCCCCTTCTCGGCACCCAGCCAGATCAGATCCCATGGTGCTGCCAGATGTCCACGGCCGTGGGGACAGCTGGCACAGCTCTGAGAGAGGAGAGGACAGGGCAGGCACCAGTGGCCTTTCTTTGTCCTTACCGGGTCTCTTTCACTAGCAGCTTCCGAATGAAGTCTTTGGCCAGCTCGCTGGTCTGGCTGAAGAACTCCTCATCGAAGTCGTAGCTCACGGCTGTGATGTTCGACAGCGTCTCCTGCTTCGTGTCCCCCAGGAAAGGGGACGCCCCACTCAGGCTGTCACCAGAAAGGGACAGATAGTTGCAGAGTGGGTGACTCAGGGGCCTGGCTGTGCTGTGCCGGGGGCTGGCAGCTCCCAGGCCTCTCGGGCACCCACATCGGCCTTCTTGACCGTACCCAGACCTGCACGCTCCATGGAGTCCACGGGCATCTGGCAGGGCACTGGGCCCTCAGAGGAGGCCCACACACCCTTTTTATTGTCCCCAGTAGAACTAAATGTGCTGGAAGTGGACCAAGAGCAGGGACAGGCCAGCCACGCAGGCCTCAGAGAGCTGCTCTCTCATCAATGTGACTTAAAGAAGGAAGAAATTGTCAACAGAGAGAAAGTGCTGGAAGGTCTGGACTAAGGAAGTCGTTTGAGCCCAGCCTGGGCGTGGGAGCCAAGGCCCCATCACAGGGGATGATCTGAGCGTCCAGCGGAGGGACGCTCAAGGGCTTCGTCCTCACTAACCCTGTACCTACCATCTCCTGGCCACACCTAGGACCAAGGAGACACCCAAACCCTCCCTGTGCCTCTGTGAAGTGACATCACCTGCCAGCACAGGGGTTAGACAGCCAACTCTCCCCGCCAGCCCCTCAGCACATCACTTTGGCCCCAAAGTCTCCGAGGCTCCATCAGTAGCCTCAGGAAGGTCGTCCTGAGCCTCTCAGGTTGACTTGGGTGAATCCCCTCAGTGGTTCAGAGTCAGCCCCTCTCTGCACCAGCCCCTGTCAACGCCCCGAACTCCCCCAAGCAAGCTCAGGGTCACTCACAGGATGTAGGTGATGACTCCGATGCTCCTGCAGGACAAAGAACAGTCAGTCAGGGCTGCCTAGCTCTCCCACACCCTCCGCTCAGGGAACTACCCCATCCCTCCAGCGCCAGCCATCACACTCTGACCCCATTCTCCACACACCAAGAGCCCTGAGAAGCTGAGTGAGAGGAGAGACTCCTTCAGGACTGGCTCTCTCCTCACCTGAGGAAAATCACCTCACGAAAAGCTGAGAACTACTCACAAGACTCCTGAGAGGATACGAAGTACTGGTGATGCTGGTGCTGAGGCGATTCAGAAGCACCAACCAGAGGCAACAAGGTTGGCCTGAGTGGAGTCGCTCACTATGGCGTCCTCAGCCACACAGCACCTCGAGCTATCGCACCTCAGCTCACTTGACTGACTGAATAAGAGGTGACTACTATTCCCTGCCAAGGCCTAGGGCTGGACTGCCAGCCTCCAGAGTCCTTGTTCTCTGCCTCATCTGAGCTCTACGTCACCTCATGTCACCTGCCCTCTGCCTCAGTCGTGTTCTAAGTCACCTCAGGTTCGGACTTATCCATCACCTCTGCCCAGACCACAGGTCAACGCCCAGAGGAGTTAGAAGCCCCCTACAATGCTGAGTGTTTGCCAGAGACAGACTTTTCCTGGGGCCACCTGGGGGTGGTACCTGCCACTTACCACATGTCAGCCTCCAGTCCCAGTGGCTCATAGTTCACAATTTCTGGAGCTGGAAAAAAATTGCCACATTGAAGATTCACATAAGTACAGAAATAAGAAGAAAGAGACGATTATAGGGGATTGGTGCCAGAGGCACCATTTTGAATCCCCATTGAGGAAAACTCTGGGCAGCAGACAGAGGCTAAGAATATTCTGGAAGGAGTGTTAGTCCAGGAGAAATCTTTGACAAAGAGTCCTTGATGGTGAGGAAGATGGTAGGACAAGGAACATCTGGCAGAGGCAGAGCAGAGAGGGGAGAGAAGAGGCTGGAAGAAGGAATGGGCAGAGACAGGGCAGCCGTGGGGCTCTGTGCAGAGGAGGCAGGACCACCCTGGAAGGTGCACCAAAGAAGGCAATGTGGGCTCTGGGCCTGCTCTGAGGGGACTCTCCCCACTGAGGTGTGGAAGGATGTTCTTTTTTTTTTTTAATTTTTGGGTCACACCTGGTGATGCACAGAGGTTACAGTTGGCTCTTGCACTCAGGAATTACTCCTGGTGGTGCTCAGGGGACCATATGGGATGCCGGGGATCGGACCCCGGTCGGCTGCATGTAAGGCAAATGTCCTGCCCGCTGTGCTATTGCTCCAGCCCCTGGAAGGATGTTCCTGAGCACCTCTGAGGTGTGAGCAATACCCAAGGGGCACCACAGCTTGAGCACAGGCAGTCAAAGGGCGGGGCCAGCTCTGTCCAGTTTGGTGATGCCCCCCCATAGGCCAGAGCAAGTGCTGTGATGTGGGAGTACAGAGTGGAGTAAGACGTGCCTGCTGTGACCTGGGGCGCTGGTAGGGGGATCACGGGCTTGGACACGGCCAAACTGGGTCCGATTTCTATCACCACAGATGGCCCTGGGAGCACCTCTAGGTGTGAGCAGAGCAGAGAGCCAGGGCTAAGTCCTGAGCACTGCCTGGTATGGCCCCCATCTCTATGCATGCTCTCCCCTTCTCTAAGAAGACTAGGGAGGAGTAAAGAAGGCCAGGATTGGGCACCGGGCAGGCAGGCGCCAAGGGGCATGGGCTCCACTCACTGCAGGTGCAGACAGTGTAGACACAAGGGTCTAGATGACTCTTCCGAGCTCAGAAATGAATGGAGGAGAAGGAGGGAGCAGGACTGATGGGAAGGGAAAGTTCGGTGTGTCCTTTAAAGCTTGTTTCCCAAAGCAGGGCATACTGGCCTCCAGGGCACTAGAACAATCTAGAGGGAATGGCAGAAGCCTTGGGTGCAATTAGGGGGAACTTTCTGTTTACTGGGTTAGACAGGAACTATCGGGAGGCTCTGAGTGATTTTCTTTCTGAAAGGGAGTGGTAGGACACATATGGTGGGAAGCTTCTAGATAATATGCAAACCACTGCATCTCTGGGAGACGTCAGCCTGCCTCCTCCTCCCAGCCTCAGGAAGCAAACACTGCACCAGCTTTCTCATATCTCAGCCCCTAGTATACCACCACTGGACTTTCACTCAGTACTATGCTCCTGGGGCTGGAGTGATAGCACAGCAGGTAGGGCACTTGCCTTGCATGCGGCTGACCTGGGTTCGATTCCCAGCATCCCATATGGTCTCCTGAGCACCGCCAGGAGTGATTCCTGGAGTAATCCCTGTGCATTGCTGGGTGTGACCACAAGCAAAAGAAAAAAAAATAGTCCACTTTGTTTCAAGAGATATTGAAAGGCTGGGTTTGCTACAGGCATGGAAGCTGACACTAAGGCTTTGATGCTGGGGCTGAGGTTAAAATCTCAAAGAAATGACTGGAGGAAGGAAAGTCCAGGAAACTGCTTTCAGGGTCTTGGTCGGGGTGGGGGAGATTCATCACAAGTTGGAGGGGTCTTCAAGAAACCACCTCATATCTCTAAGATAGAGACGAAATCGGCCGTGGTTAGAGCTCGGTCCTGTCGGTTCCGAGTCAACTCCCTGTAGCCCCTCCTGACTCTGCATCCAGTGACTAGTCTGTCAGGGCCAAGAGGCCACTCTCAGGAACCAAGAGGCTGAAGCATCCTGGGACTCTGCTGTCTGTGCTCCCTGCGCTTCAGAGAACACCAGCCATGGTACAGCCAGGCGTGCGCATACACGGGCCACCCCACCCTCACCACCCCCACCAGATCCACACCTGAAGTGGGGGCCCCTGGCAAGCACCACAGCCAAGGGTGCGACGCCCCCACCTGCTGTGGGATCGACACATCCACATGTGGGAACATCATCACGCAGCGTGTGCACGTGACTCCTGGGCATCACAGAACATCAGCAAGAAGAAGGGAGAGGAAGCTACAAATTAGAGTTTTGTTTTGAAATCAGCTGTCCAGTGCTAACGCAGCCTAGCCCATCAATTCTGCTTGCACTGCATGACTGAACTCTGCTCCATCCACACAGAGAATCGTCACCATGAATGCAGTCACCTGGCCCAGCCCTGAGGCAGGACCTCAGATGGCCTCCCCCCATCTCACTAGCTCTCGGGCCTCACTCACGGCCGACAGCGCTGCCTGACGTGAGAGCTTGGTGTTGGAAGAGGCTGCTCAGCCCCCATGACCCGCCTGTGGCTGCTCCTCTGTTACCGTCTTTGAATTTCCAGTCATCCCTTTTCTTTTACTAACACTTGGCAGGAACAGAAATAGAAATTTAAAACACCCATTTCTACCACAGGGGTAAGTGGCTGGTGGGGAACATTCTCCTGCAGTGTGGATGGAGGCGTTGTGTCCTGCCACCAGCTTGCGGTGTGGCCTTGGGTGTGTGACTGAGCTGCCCGTCCAGCCTTGATGGCCATAAGGAAAATGTCCTGGGGCTCCAGCCCCCCCCCCACACACAGGACCTGGGGGATGGTCCCAGCACTGCCCTCCGTGGCTGTATCAGCTCCTGAGGCAGGTCTTTGAGAGGCCAGCCAGGGTCGCCAGAGCAGGGCTTTCTGACGCTGGACCTGGGACTGAGGCTCAGCTCCACCTACTGGTTACTCTGAGCACATGGCAGAGAAACAATGCAGGGCCTCCGAGGCGGGCAGAGACAGCAGGTAGGAAAATATCAAAGCCCCAGACACAAGCCAGGTCCCTGACCCGGGGTTCCTGGGCTCAGAGTTGGGGGCATCTCGGGCTTCAGACCAGCAGGAGGGCTGACAGTCTGACTCATTCTGTCTTCAGGGTTTCAATCGGGGTTTCAGATGTTGGTGGGGTTCCAGGCGCTCCTGCCAGTTCTGAGGGGGACTGTGCCCTTCTTCCCTCGAAGATCAGGCCGACTCCCAAAGCAGACAACGGTCTCAACCCTCATTCCTTCCCCTCTTGCAAGGCTGTTTCAATCGCCCTCAGCCTGTGGCCCAAGTCCCCTGAAGGTTTTGGGGGGCCTGGGTCAAGGACATAAAATGCCCAAAACATCAGAGAAAAGAGCGTTGCCACATCCTCCTGGAGGCGGGCCTCCAGCATGGATAAAGGGGGGCTCAGAGGAGAGGAGAGTGGGTGCAGATGGCACTTGCATGTGACTTCTGCTTCTCTTTCCAGAGAATCAAAATCTGATCCAGCAAAGTTGCAGTTCATGGGAATGCAAGAGGGCAAAGTAGTTATAGAGTGGGAGTGGGTTCGCTCAGCAAGGACTTAGCCCCAGAAGATCCCTCCTTCCACCCTGGCTAACTCGGTGCTCAGCACAGACCAGAATCCACGCCCGGAGGCCGGGGAGACATTCCCTCCACACCGGGGCTCCCAGCCCAGAAGCCACAAACCCAGATAGAGGCTCTGCTCTCGGACTCCTCTCCCGTTTGACCCCAGATTCTTAACCGAAGATAAATAGGCCTAAAACTCACCAACAAATTCTGGCGTCCCAAAAATGTTCTTAAATTCAACTCCATCTTCTATTTCATGGGCCAGGCCAAAGTCAATCAGCTTGATGTGTGGGATGGGGATATTCTTGTCTAACAACATAATGTTTTCTGGCTACAGAACAAGAGAAAAAAAAAGTGGGGGAGAGAGAGAGAGAGAGAGAGAGAGAGAGAGAGAGAGAGAGAGAGAGAGAGAGAGAGAGAGAGAAGATGGTAATTAAAGCTTTGTTTTTGCTTTGGGGTTAGGGTGGGGTTTGATGTTCTTTTTTAGGAAACCAAAAACAGCACAACCCCTGGTTTTTATGTCCACAGCTTCTCCTGCGAGCCCAGAAATAGGTCCAGAAATGTGGGTGAGGCCAGGACCCACCCAGCCTGCATTGGTAGCAGCGCGGGAGCCCTGGGCCTTAAGCGCCCTTTGTCTATGTGGCAGCTCCATACAGTGGTGGTTTCTGCATCTGTAAAATGGACGCAGAGACAGTAGCATTTCCTGCGACAAACCACGGCCAGCGGGTGTAGCAGGGACAGCCCAGCCCCCATTGACACAGGGCTTGGTGGCTTTTATCTTCCTGGTCACCCCTTCTTGGCCACCAGCTTCCTGTTGACATTTCGCATCCTCTAGATCAAGTGGTTCCACTCTAATGTCTGCTGAACTGATCTGTGCCCCCGGCAGGGCACAAGAGTTGACCCTAAGCCTGCAAGGTGAAGTCCAGCCCTGCAGACTGCATACCGCCTAGACAGCAGCTACCCGGGATAGTCCCCCTCTGCTCATACCCTGGGCTGTCACTGAGGCCAGAGCAGGGACTGAGCCCTTCCCGCTGCCCTGGGCCAGGTCGCCCTCTCTCCTGCTCTGTCCCCTTGCAGAATGTCTGGAGACAGAGACCTCACGCGATCCTGGCCGCGATCCTCACTGCCGGGTGTGTGTGTGTGCGGGGGGGCGGGGGGGGCGGGGTGTGTGTGTGTGTGTGTGTGTGTGTGTGTGTGTACTTTTCTATCCTTGAGAGAGGAATGAAGGTTGGAGCCGGGATGATAGCACAGCGGGGAGGGTGTTCACCCTGCATGCGGCCAACCTGGGCTCTATCCCTGGTGTCCCATCAGGTCCCCTGAGCCCACCAGGAGTAACTCCTGAGCACAGAGCCAGGAGTAAACCCTGAGCATCACCAAGTGTGATCCCCTCCACCCCCGCCCCAAACAAAACTAAACAAAAGGATGACAAGGACAGAAATGCTGAAACATGCTAAGTGACAGAAATCTCACCAGGCACCCTGGCTTGATGACTCTGTTCACCTGTCTTCCAGAGTAACCTGATCCATGAAAACAGGAAGTTGATTAGTGGCTGGCCAGGCAGGTTTGGTGGTGGGGGGGTGGGGGGCACAGGGGTCAGTGAGAACTCGCCATGGTGGTGACTGAGAAGGCGCTGGGGCTGGGCTCAAGTGACAGAACATGCGTCCTGCCTGGGCTCAGTCCCCGACACAGGCACCCCCCACCCCCATGGTTTTCTCTTTTGGAAAGACTTCTGGCCTGCCACACCAAGTGGCCCCCAGAGAGTCCTTGGACCCCCAGCACAGCTGCTCCCTCAGCGCCTGCGCCCCCAGCACCCAAGGCCCCTCCTGAGCCTGGGCCCTGCCCCAGCTCCCCCCAACCCCACCCATCTCTATCCAGCTTTCACTGTACCTCACAGCAAGGGACCAGGGAGAGGCTGTTTGTGATTGTCCCAGCGCGAGCACTGGGTGACACCCAGCTTGGTCAGTCTGCAGCTCTCCTCACAGAGGCTGAGCGCCACCCACCCCGCACCCACCCACCCATCACCCCCACCCACCCACTGACTCAGGCAAGCTGCCCAAGGTGCTGAGCCCCTCTTATAAAACAGTGCTTGAAAAAAATAATAAACCCAGGCTGTGGGATGGACTGCAGGCCTAAGCATACACACAGGGGCTCTGGGCCCGCCATAGGGCCCCCAGTACCACCAGGTGGGACCCCCAAACAGAAAATAAAAAGAAAATAAGCCCCTGCCTTTGCATGGCTCACGTTTGTTTGCTCTTTCCTCTCTGGACCGCTCCCCACTTTGGGAGACCTCCTCGGCAGCCCATGATTGGGGGGTCCGGGGGCCTCAGGAGCCCCAGGCAGGAGCCCTGTGACGAGCTCCGTCCCCACGCAGAAGCACCTGCATGGCCTGCACTAAAGGGACAGAGGCGAGTACACCGGGAGTGACTCCTGCACTGTCCACCAGCGGGGGGTGAGGCAGGGCGGGAGGATAAGGGGGGTCTGAGCCCTCAGGCGCGGGGCACCAGCCCCCCCATGACGGGGACACTCAGCACCCGCAGTGCCCATGGGCCACTCAGCACCCGCAGTGCCCATGGGCCTGTACCGCAGCCTGAGCAGGGCTCCCTGCCACACCCCAACCTGCAGGCCGAGGCCCCACGCCTGCCTCGGGCTGCCCGGGACCTGCCCGCCCTGCCCTTGGGCTGGGCTCAGAGCCTGGGGTCCTCCACACTTGCGGTGCCAGCCCAGGACCTGGGCATGCGGCACTGCCAGCATTGCTGGGGCAGGCTGCTCGGTGCCAGCTCTTCTAGGTAAGGTGAGTTTGAAGCTTATCAGGCTGCTCCTGACATTGGGTTCCACCCCGAGTGCTGGACTCCAGAGCCAGACAGACCATCCTCTCCCCGACGCTGCAAGGCCTGACACCATCCCAGGCAGAGCGGGCACCCCATGTGGGCTGGCTCCGGGCGCCTGGCACCCAGTGTGGACTCGGGGCCCCATGGTGGCACATGCGTGGCCCTTTCCTTGGCCCCTGGCTGTACCCAGATGCTCCAGAAGGAGCCGACTTCTCCGTCACAGCCTGGCAAAGGCGGGCAGGGTGAGTGGGGGGCCAGGGCTCGGGCGGGGAGGCCAAGGGCAGCAGCGACCCTGGTTCTGTGTTCTTGCTTCCCCCAACTGGCCACAGCCGCCAGGCAGGCCTCAGCCCCTTCCCAAGCCTCACGGTGGGCGACACTGGCCGGGGGTCTGGGCCATGGCTGCAGCTCCAACAGTGTCCCTGCGCGTGACACCAGCGCCTGTCACAGCTGCCAGTACCCGGGGTCGGGGGGCTGGGCTGCAGCCTCGCCTTGCCACAGTGTGGTCTGTGGGCCCAGAGGTGCTGGAATAAGCCCAGAGCTCACACAGGAAGGAGCTCACAGAGGCCTGGCCCTGCCCAGTGCTCGTCACGGCGGTCAGCGTGGGGACCCTCAGTGTCTGGGCCGCCCACCACAACATCCTGCTCAGACTTCTCTGCCAGCCCACAGCCAAGAGAGAAACCCAACGCCCTGCTGGTATTTGAGGCCCTGAGGGGGCCGGGGTGAGGGTGGGGGCTGCTGGGGTCTGTGCCCCCCCCCCAGCCCTTTGACTGGCTTATTAGCTGCAACACTAGGGAATCTGGGGGTGTGGCTCCACCCTTCTCTCAGGATCACTGCACCAGCCACCACATCCCTGCGCCCTTCCCACCCAGGACCCAGGACCCAGGACCCAGGACCTCTCTCTCTCTCTCTCCTACCTCTCACCCACCCCCTTTCCTCTATAACCCTAGTTTTCGCCATGTTGGGTCTCTATGCTGCTCAAATTAGAGTCGGGGTCCTGATCTTGAAGCTGTTGTGTCAGTGAGGACTTGGACCCTAGCTCAAGCTAGCAATAAAAGCCCTTACTTTTGCATTAACAAAAAAATCCATTTCTTTTCCTTATTGACAGCTCCATCAGAGTGGAATCGGCTGCCCCTTGCTCCTCAGGGAAGGGCCTCCCTGGTCCCATCCATTTGCTCAAACGGCAGCTTGTCTTTTCAGCCATTTCTCTACAGGTATTGAGGGGTGGGGGTGGTCCATGATGCTTCTGTGAAGGTGGGGCACACAGCTCCCGTCCAGCCTCACTCAGCTGCACCCCAGGGTGGCACAGCCCCCCAGTGACACTCGCCTCATCCCTGCGTCTCCTCCGCCCCACAGCACCGCCCCCAGACTCCCCCCACTCACAGACCTCCCCCCACTCTCCAGTGCTGTGGCCCTTACCTGGTATCCTAACAGCCTCTTACACTAGTGCATCCACTCCCCAAGGGCCAGTCAGCAGGACGTGCTGTCTCCCAGCGCTGGGCCAGGAGGGGCACGTGTGGGCCGTGTGGACAGTGTCCTAAGGCAACCAGGCTGTGGGCCCTGAGCACGCCCTGCCCACTCTCTGCTCCTCCATCCTTCCTTGGGATTTCCTTGGACCGAGCCTTTTCCTCACACGCCTGGGCCACCCGGAGCACACTTGGGGAAAGGTCACACCCCTGGGTGCCGCCCGGGCCAGCACACAGTCCTCTAAGCTGCCCATCAGAGGGCAGATTCATGCCCGGCGAGATGTCCCAGCCGGCGGCCACGGGACAGGCCAACCTGCCTTTAACCTCTTCAAACTCAGCAGGGGGAGCCCTCTGTGCCCCAGAAGTCAGTCTTCCAAGAGCCCCCCAGCAGCCCAGGAGTGTCAGAGGCTGCAGGGCTGGGGCATGAGGGGCCAGCACAGGGTGGAGGTGCAGTCTGCAGAGCACAGGTGGCGGTGTTGGCCCAGGGTTCCATCCCGCAGAAAGATGGGAAAGACAAGGTTCAGTCCCACCTGGGCTCCCCAGTCCAGCTCCGCCACTCACAAGGCAGAACCTGAGCGAGGCCTGCAGTGGACAGTGGGCACTGCCCATCACTGCAAGGCTATTCCTGGAGTCAGAGATGTGCCGGGGCGCACGGCCCTCTGCCACCCCCACCCCTTCTGTGCAGCAGGAGAACGTGATTGTCACAGACACTCGGCTTCCCTCTCTGTCTTCCTTCACCACCACTCACAATGGGGCGTGCCTCAGGCCATCAGGTTCTGGCACTGCCTGGGCACTGAGGGGCTGTCCGGCTGGCAGCAGAGCATAGCCCAGGGCCACCGAGGGCCTCCCTGGGGCCCAGCTGCCCTCCTGGGCTGGGCGGGCAGAGCATCGCAGCAGGGCTGTGCGGGTGGGTAGAGAGAAGCCAGCCAGGAGCTGAGCCTCCATCACAAGGTTAAGCTCGAACCCCCCCGCCCCCCCCCCCCCCCCCCCCCCCGGCGATCAATCAAACCACTTCAGGCAGGAGGTCACAGCCCACAGCA